GTTAATAAAACAAATCTAAAATTAAATATTTTACTTAGAAAATATATAGCTAAAATTAATATATAAGTTTTTATTAACAAAATTAAACTTTTTAATAAAAACACAGGCAAATTTGCCTGTGTTACAATTTAAGGGATAATATTTAATTATTATTTATCAACTCCTAACTCTTCCTAATAATCACTTATACCAATTTTTTCTACTAAAGAAAAAACAAAAATTCTGTTAGAAAAGAAAAAAGCACTATAAAAATGGTTCTTGTAAAAGTCAACTGCTATATTTGGGGACTCCTTTACATATTTGGCATGCAAACCAAAATATTAGTATACAAGATAACTAGCAAGTGATGCTCTTGTATACAAAATTTTGGAGAAGTTGGTACTTTGACAGAAGTGAGACTATCTTATTAACAAAGTCAAGCATAGACAATATAATAGAAGAGAAACAACAAATAAGTTTTTTAAACCACTTTTTTGAAAATTTGAAGTATCTAATCTTGAAAACCACTTTCTATATTCCTACTAGATTTTTTGATATTTCTTTTGAAATTTTTTTCAAAATGTAGGAAATTTGGCATACTCACTATAAAAGATTAACATTGTTTACGCAGCCAAACTGGGAATAGCAAGTTATAAGAAAGTTACACTACTATATGTCTGACCAATAGTAAATGACATATAACAGATCTATAAGGTAAACAAGAAAAATTTGTATTCTCCACATCATTAAACTATTTTAATACCAAAGTAAAGTGAAGGTGAGAATTGTTTTATAGAGTATTAAATAATTTTTTAAGCCTTATACTGGTGCAAATAGTGTTGTTATGTTTCTGTTTTTTTTCTGTTCTTTTTTTTTTGTTTTTTGTTTTCGTTTAGGTTTTGTAGTTTATTTTTTTTTTTAGCTTAGTTTTTTTTTAGTAGCTTAGGCAAGAATTATAGAATTTTCTTGCTCAATAATTAGAAAAGAAGAGATTTAAAGGAATTGCAGTTATGACAGGCTGTAGAAACTATTCATTGATATGCTTATTTATTTTGTTTGCAGAGGTGATAAGTAAGGAGATAAACTTTACTATAGTGAGTTAAACATAGATGCATCTGATATAACTAGATTAGCCAACACTTGTAACTTAGGTGACTGGGCCAATTGGTTTGGTAAAATTAATAGACTGTGTAGTTTGTTTATTTATATCTAATAAAGTAAAAACATGATTGCCAAAGTTAAAAAAAAAAAATCTAATTATTATTGTAGTGTTATCACTAGTAAGAAGCTTATAGAGTCTTAAACCAATTTAAAACTATGAACATCTCTGATATAGATTATATTTGTTTTTTAGCAAATTGCTAAAAATTTGATTAAAGATCCAAATTTGAGTTTTAGCAAATAAGTTCTGATTAGACACATGATATACTATTTCCAATTGAATAAAATAAATCACACTTATTAAGATCAAAAAAAAATAAATTTCAAATATTAAAGTTGTTTAAATATTTTTATTTTTTTTGAAAATTTAAAGATTCATATAAACTTTTGAAAATTTCAAAATTGTTAAGTTCAACAATTTTTTATTTTCTTGAGAATTAGAGACTCATGCAAACTTAAAAATTTTGTTTTTTATTTACTACAACTATAACAAAAATTATTATATAATTCCTACAACATTATTTGTTAGTTAATCTTATTCCATATACAGTCACACCTCCCTAAGTACATACTGTCAGGACCATAGTGAAAAAAATTCAAATTTTGCACTTAGAGGGTGTTTGCATTTATAGAAAGTAAAATATATAAAACTCTTATAAGTTGGGGCCAAACATGATTGTGCATTTAGAGAGGTTTTACATAGTACTTGCATTTAGGAGGGTGCGACTATACATTTTTTTTGTTAGTAAAAATAATTTAAATATGAAAAAAATAAATTAATTTAAATATGAAAAAAATAAAATTTAATTCAAGTACAAAAACAATTAATTTAAAAATGAAAGAATTAATTTAAATATGAAAAAAATTAACTAAATATAAAAAAAAAATAAATACAAAAAAAAACTTTAAATTATAAAAAAAAATTAATTATGAAAAATAATTAAAATACAAAAAAAGACAATGAAAAAAAATACAACTCACTTTAAACTCTCATTATAATGAAAACTCGAAAAAAATAATTCGAAAAAAAAATTAGATACAAAAAAAATTAAATACAAAAAAAAGAAAAAAAAAATTAAATACAAAAAAAGAAAAAGAAAATTAAATACGAAAAAAGAAAAAAAGAAAATTAAATACGAAAAAGAAAAAAAGAAAATTAAATACGTAGTGATTTATTTTATATAATGAGAATGATCATTCAATAGGAACTTGGGGAAGAAATTAATAAACTCGACATATGGGCAGATTTTTACATTTTGGTGATATCTTCGAATATGATCATCACAATTTGTACCAATCAGATTAGTAAAATTTGTGATTATTGCGAATTGGTCTTACATTGATTGGTCGATTTATTTAGCATGTATATGTATAATAGTAAAGTGATATTTACTTTTACAATGCCTCTGCTTTTTTTTCTTTATTATTGTGGTTTGAAAATTTGTATTTATACGCAAGACTTTAATTTCAAAGATCCCAAAATGGTTTTTTAAGATCCCAAAATAGACAAAACTTTTACTAGTTGCAATGCCAAAGGTTTGTTTATTAATATAATAGTTAAAATACTATTTACTTTTATGAAACCTCTGCTTTTTGTTCTTTAATTTAGTGGTTTAAAAATTTGTACTTACATTCAATAAGATCTTAATTTTATAGATCACAAAATAGTATTTCAAGATCCTAAAATATAAGAAACTTTTTCTAGTAACAATGTTGAAGATTTACTACGTAGAATTGGAGCACTGTAATATATAGCTGGAACGATTTTAAAAAAGGTTACAGCTTGATAAACTATAGACAAATATAAGACAGCTAATTAAAGATGTAAAGGACAATTAAGATATTTAATATAAATTAAAATTTTGTTTTTTTTTTACTGTAAAAGAAAAAAAAAAAGCTTTATTAAATATTCTACGTATTTTTTTTAAAATGATTTCAATATCTTGTACTATATAGAATTATTAGATAGATATAGTTGGATTAAATAATAAATAATATAAACGGGCTGTTTAATTTATAATATTATAAATCGAAAGCATGTAGTAATAATATGTTACTTATAAATATTCTTGTAAAGTTATTCATTAATATTGTATATTAAATTTTTTCGTGATTTTTGTAACAATTTTATTGGTTAATCTATTTTTAGATATCACGAAGATCACATTCGAATTTAGGTGACATATTTGAATTATGAAAATCCGCCCATATGATCAAAAATGAGTCAATCATGTTGATCGATCAAATGGTTGAAATTTGATCGATCAAGAAAATTTGTACAGTAAAAAAAAAAAATACAAAGGTATCATTATGGTAGGTCACCCAGGTAACCCGTGTAAGGGCTACTTAAGTCATTAATTTGTTTTTATAACGGATGGAACGTAGATGGAACGCGGGTCAATCTCTACGTAAGCAAAATGTCGTGCCTGAAGTTGACATTTGCCTGAAGTTGCCTGAAGTTGCACTTGACTGAAATTAACCCCTGAAATTAGATCATCTTGCATGCAAGCATTAATTAGTAATTTTAGTTAATTTTAGGCAATTTTAGGCAAGTGTAACTTCAGGCAAGTGTCAACTTCAGGCACGACAATAATATAATCGATCAATGATTAATCCAATAATTGATCGATTATGTATGCTCGAGCCTATGAATTCCATGCTTGACCGATCATACTCGATCAAGCATATATAATTGATTTTTAGGATAATTTTTTTTGATCAATCATTTATCAACGATTTTTTTGTCGAGTAAATTCCCTAGCTGCAAAATGGATTAAGGAATAGCGCTAGATTTAAAGAATTCAAATGTTTAAAAAGTATCTTTTAATATTTTATTAATATTGCCTTGAAACTAAAATATAACAAAATTTTTACAATAAATGAGAAATTCTAAGAGTAAATCTAAACCAAATTAATATCACCCAGTTTTTCTAAACTTAAGACCGATGAAAATGTCACAATTTTAGTAATAACTTATGCTAATTTTACTATTTTAAATCATTTGTTTTCATTTAGTGATCGAAATTTTTTTGAAGCAATGTCCATCAAATATTCAAATTCATTACTTTCTTCACATAAATGTCGGAACACACTAGTTTTATCTTGAAGTAGGTTATATGGTGTATCAAACTCCGCTACTTTTCCTTGATCTATTGGATATGAAATTAGGAAAAGGGACAGTATTAACAATCGTAATCACTATTGAGATTATAATTAAACTATAAAAGTTAAGTAACTTACCAAGAACTAAAACCTGGAATATACGAATATATAAAAAAAAATTTAGATTTAAAAAGTCAAATTCAAAATTAGTATCAATATGACTTACCCTATCATAGTCTATTATTGTTCTTAATCTGTGAGCAATACATAACAATGTTGCCCAATTAAATTCAGTTCGAATAGTTTTTTGTATTTTAGCATCCGTCTCGACATCAACGCATGCAGTTGCTAATAAACAAAAAATTAAACCAACGTAAGATATAAAATTCGGACTTAACATATCGTTATAATTTAAAATGACAAACCTTCATCCAACACGATAATAGGTGACCTCCTATAATTCCAAAGAGTTAGACTTTTGATCCACAAAATTATCATTATTTTTTAGTTTTAACATACCGTAATAGTGCCCTTGCTAAACATAGAAGTTGTCTTTGTCCTTGACTGAAATTTTCACCACCCTCTAAAACTTTAGCATGTAATTTATCATCTAGTCGAGCGATATGATCTTTCAAATGTGAACTTTGAAGAGCTTGCCAAATCTCAACATCATCGTGTGTCTCGAATGGATCGAGGTTGAAAAGAATTGTTCCTGTAGATTATATAGAAATGTTTGTTAATGAATGTATATCGTATAAACAAACTTGATTAATAAGTATATAAATAATTATTACCTTCAAAGAGAATTGGATCTTGAGGAATGATAGTAATGCGTGAACGAAGATCATATAGACCAATTTTTGATATATCCATGCCATCCTATTATATTGTGACAATTAAAAATAGTCTTAAGGCTAATAAAGGAACTAATTATTTTATAAATACCACAAAAATTGAACCGCCAGCCGACTCTATTAGTCTGAATAAACTTAATGTCAAACTAGACTTTCCAGCCCCCGTTCTTCCAACTATTCCAATTTTTTCTTTTGGTTTTATACGGAATGATACTCCCTATGTAAATAAAGTAATTTATAATAATGATCATTGGTATGTAACTTGGTATAAATCTATATATCTACTACACAATTAACAAACCTTCAACACTAATTCAAGGCCAGGTCTATACCGAGTTGAATAATCTTTATATTCAACTAATCCATTGTGAGGCCATGCAGGTGGGGGACGATTATCAGGTATTACTGGAGGTGCTTCACTAGGTAAGTCAATATACTAAAAATATTTTACAAGTATATTACATATCAAGAATTTCATTAATTCATAAAAAAATAAATGATATCATAAGTCTTAATGGTTATTACCTCTTTTATTCTTTCCACAGAGACAATATTTGTCTAATTAGATCAAAATTGTAACAGAAATTTAAATAATAAATTACATTTATAAAAGGAACAAGGTATATTAGGTAAATTATTATACCTCTATTTCACAAAACTGCCGAACAGCCCAATTCAAAGCCTGTGTAACGCTGAGCGCGTAAGATAATGATAAACCAACAAGTCCAGCATCAATATCTTGGGTGGTCACGGACGAAATAACGGATAAAAATGATGCACTAAAAATAACCAAAGATCCTAAATTTTTAAAGACCATATGTAAGATATAGATTATTTTACTCACTATAAAAAATTTCACAAAATTAATAAATAAAGTAAAACTTACCTATAAATTCTAATCGAACAGCTAACCATCTATTACAAGAAACAGATGGATAATAGGCTTTTTGATTCTCATCCAATCGAACTTCATTTTCAGTAATGAACCGTTGTGATTGTTGATAAGCACGAATAGTCATGACACCTCCCAAAGTTTCTTGAAAATGAGAATAAATAGGCGACCTTGTTAGAGAATCCAACCTTTTTAATTCTCTAGAGGTTGATAAATAATACGATTGGATATATTTGTATATGAGCACTTAAGTAGAAGGAAAGAATACATAAAGTTAGAATTTAAAAAAAAAAATATTACTTAAAGAAAATAAATATAAATCCTCACGTAATGGAACAATAACAACGATAAATGGTGGTGTGGAAAACGAAATGACAGTTATTGTTGCTAAAACAATAAAGAAAGTCCTGAAGTATCCAGAAAATGTACGTGGAAGAACTTCATCAATAGTGTATTGATCTTTGCTGAATCTATTTAGAATGCGACCTAAAGGAGTGGTATCCTATAAGTTTAAAAATTACACACACAGTTAGTAATCCTATATAAAGATATCATAAGATCCAAATATAAATTCTGTATTAACTTACGAAAAAAGACATTGGAGATCTATAATCCGAGCATAAATATATAATTAGGTTAATTACAGCAGTATAATGAGAATCTTAACCGCACATAAAAATAAACTTCACAGTTAAAATATTCGGACATACCTTATAACTTTATTCAACATTTTTTCATGCAAAATACGGGCGGCTCTGTAATGAGTTTAGAAGGTAAATAAATCTATCGAATAAGAATAAGTATTGTGTCTCATATATCATTATAACTCACCGAATAGCACAAAATACCCAAAGTGTTATTGTTTGTCCAATGGTCAACAGAGAATATGTAAGGCCAATGACGCAATATATCGACAAATAAAACAAATGATTGTTATCATTTTGAGAACTCCAATATTTAAGGAATACATTCATGGCTAAAAATATATATGAAATTATTGATTAATGTAATAGAAATTGAATGTAACAAAAATTACAAAAGAAGAAAAAGAAGATTAAATATCAAATTACATATTTGAGCGCCTTGAGAAACAATCATCATGAATATATAAAACAGTACTGAAACAAGAGAGCATGACTTCATATATTCCACATAAACTTGCCATGAAACTTTGCCTTTGATAGTGTCTTCATTTAGAATAAGAACGTCCTTGCCACGCTCAGTGTCAGGTTTATTAATAACAGGAGTAAGATGAGAAGGTCGTCTTTGTAAACTCATAACGCTGACTCGTCTTTCCCGTGGACTTCGAGCAGTTTCTTCAGCTGTATAGTCAAGATTTACTTCGTCATTTTCATAAGTTTCTATAGTGCTTGGACTTTGTATTTCCTCAATTTCTTCACTGGGCAATTCCTGACCATACTCCATAATTAAGTTGTATAATTCTTTTTTTTCTTTCATCAAATCATCAAAATGTCCTTGTTCAACGATTTCTCCTTCCCGTATCATTATAAGCGAATTTGTACGAGAAAGGAAATGTATTCCATTAGTAACAAATACCCGAGCTTTTGTCCGAAGGAGTCCAGTTGGACCGATAACTTTATCAAATATATGTTTTCCTAAAAAAGTGAAAATAATTATTCCCAAATTCTGTTTGTAGAAGTTATCGAATTATCAAATTATCGACCCAAACAATAAACATATAGACTTACCAACATGTGCATCAACAGCAGATAAGGGATCATCTAAAAACATAATAAAACAAGTTATATATATATACCTGTAAATAATCTTATATAGTATTAAATTAACATATCAATCCAGGTTATTTACCGAACAAATAGATATCAGCACGCGCATATACAGCACGAGCAAGTGAAATTCTAGCCTTTTGTCCACCAGAAAGATTAATTCCCTTTTCACCTATTTCTGTTAAATCTCCACCTGGCAAAATTTCAATATCAGCTTTCAAACAACATGCTTCAATAACCTCTATAGGATTTAGATAAATTAATTCCACCTTCAAAAGAATAGATAGTAATTTAACACACGAAAAGAACATAAAAATAAGAACCGTCATAAAATTTGTAATCATATGGAAGTCCAAAAGTAATATTATCTCGAAGAGTAGCGTTCATGATCCAAGCTAAAATTACAGAACACTCACTTATTAATTGATGAATTAGAAAGAATACATAGGTAAAAAACAGCCATTTTTTACCTGACTGTGGCGCATAAGCAGTATATCCACGCACAGTAACATCACCGGATATTTTTTCCATTTCACCTAATAGAGCGGATAATAATGAAGATTTGCCCGCACCTAAAATACATTAAACATGTCAGACATTGAATGTCGATTATGGCCATTTTTAAAATGAACGTTATAAAATAATAGCCAAAAATTGAGAAACCCACCGACTTTTCCAACAATAGCTACTAGATCACCTTTTTTAACGCTAAAATTGATATCATTTAGAATTGATGTCGGGGACTTTACTGACCATTTAAAAGTTCCATTTTTAACAGAGATTAATTCTATTCCATTTTTGCCTCCAGTTTTAGGCTCTACACTAATATATTGTTCGCGATTTATAGAATTAGGATTAAGCTCATCGGCTTTTAAAAATTTACCAACACGACTAACAGAAACAGATGCTTCGACAATAGAAGCCAATACAGTTGGAAATACAGTAAGTGGAAATTGGAGCAGATTGAACAAGGCTAAAGCTACAAACACAACTTCGCTTGTTAATGGTTGATTTGATATCAAGACATAGGTTGCAAAAGTTGCAAAAGATACTAAGAAAGGCTATTAAATATGTAAAATTGAATATAAGCACATAAATCATTTTGACAAAAAAATGAAATTTGAAAAAATAAGCTCACCGTAGCTGCCCAAGTAAAACTTTGCATGGAAGCCAGATAACCAAGTTTTGTAAGGGTAGCAAGTTCTCTATTATTTCTCACTTCAAAAATCTACAGAAAAGTTATAAGAACTATTAATTTTTGAAAGTAAAAAAAAACAAACCAAAAACACTGTATAAAACAAATTACCCTTTTCAAAAAGGCAGATTCCCAAGCATAAAGCTTAATAACTTTGATGCCATTAAGTACTTCGTTCTTGAAACATAAATATACAGTAAAGTGTTAGTAATAAATATTTTCACTAAATGCGTGAATACATGCATCTAATAATAAAAAAAAATTGATACATGCTATATATTTAATTCTATCATCTTTATTTTTCATTTGTTGTTTTTGTAATCTTCTCATAAGGGTGGCAAAAATAGCATTTAAAGGTAACATTAAGATCATAACAGCGACACCAGCAAATGCACTACCACCCATAGTTTGATATAAAAAGTATAAAGCAAGAGTAATCTGTAGAGGACCAGACCATGCAATGTGTAGATACAAGGTTAAATCCACGATTTTTTGAGCATCAACACTCATATCTGTAAGAGTTCAAAAAGTAGTAGTTAACATATTTTTTTCAATATATAAATATGTTAAAATAATAAAGTACATACGATTGACGATTTCTCCAATTGTTGAACTTTGTCGCGCACTATTTGAAAGACGAAGAGCTTTTTTATAAATTATGGATACCAATCCAGCACGTGCCTAATTTTAAAAAGTTACAATCGTTATACGTTTATTATTAAGGTAAATCACTAAAGTATACATTTAAAATCAAAGTACCCTCATTGCAGTCACAGCACATAGATGGAAATATTGATGTAAAAATATGGTTTGAAGAAGTGCAGTAAGAAACATCATTCCTATTTTTAATGAAAAGATTAGAAAGAAATATAAATAAGTATTCAAGTTCAAATAAAAATAAAAAAAATAAATTTACAATATTCATGATGTTTACCAGCAATACAATAACCCCATAGCGCAGGAGGTTTGTCCTCATCGCTTTGTCTGCTTACAAAGATTATAAGTTGCTTCAATAATTGAGGTTGCACAAAATTTAAGATATCCTGAGTAGCTTTGAAGACCTTTATAACCATTTAAGATAAAATTAGCAAAGTAGAAATTTAACCGAAAATAAGTAATTTATATTAACAAAACTTACAGCAGCAAAAGCAAATGGACCACCGAATGAAATAACAAGAGCTTTAAATAGGGAAGGGCTAAAATAAAGTTTAAGATGCCCTATAATGGTAAATATTAACTTTGTAAATTACAACTAAAAACAATAGATGCATTACTTTTTTTTCTTTAATTCGTTTTTCCAAACAGCTTCAAAGTTTTGGGAAATCTTTCTTGATCGATCTTCAGAATTTAAATTCCTATGAAAGTAAAGCATAAATCAATATATCACAAAAAAATAATATGAAATAATATGATAAATACCATAGGTCAGAAAGAACTAAATATTTTTCGTGACCCAATTTCATAAGTGGGGTCATCCAATAAAAAGTCAACCGGGAGAAAATATTTGCATTTTCTTCTGGAGAATTTTTCTGTGAAAAATATGATTATATATTTCAATTTTTTTACGAAATAATAATAATGCGGAAATAATGAAAATAATTACAGGATCATCTTCTTCAATAAGCTCATATTCTCCCTTTGGTTTAGGAAGTAATTCTAGGACAAATACAAACAAGACCAATAAAATCGATGATAAATAAATGTAAAATCGCAAAGGAGTGGTGTCAAAATAATCTCTTTTAGTCAATGTCCGTAATTTTAAAGATTCTATGACAATATAGAAAAGCCAATAGAGCAACAGTACAGAAGACCCAGAATGGCTATTGGTATAGGCCGCTTTTTGGAGGAACATTGAAAAGATCTGTAAAGGATTCTTACAATAAGCTACTTTTATTACGTATAATTTTACATGAGAAAGTCTCAGTGATTACTTGCCATTGCGGTTGCATTCACGATGGCAGAAATAACAAACAAATCCGCTATTCGCCACTCGCTATCCTTTAGAGTTAATATTAAAATAACTATGCTGAGTATAACCATGAGTGATAGAGCAATCTGAAAAAATCATAAAGATATATTAAACATTATGTAAACCTGGGACAGTTGAAGAAGAAAAATAGTAAATACCCTCTCTAATAAATAATGCCAATTTCGTAATCCATTATTTGGAATAACAGCAGATTTCTTAATAAGATGGTAAAATTCGATAAAACCAAAAGCTAACATCAAAATATTTATTGGCATAATGAATATTCTTTATAAAAAAGCAACAGAAACATAAGATTAAAATCAATTGACTAATTATGAAATAAAAAGAAATTATTAAAAAATGAAATACCCCTCGGTGAAGCATAAAGCAAGATCGGGGTCAGTTGCATTCGGCCTCAAGGGACCCTGAATATGATAGAATTAGTAATTATTTATGATTGTATACATAAAAGAAAAGAATTGCTTTGATAATCTACCCAGCCATCCGGATCATGGCAAAGCAAATATTCATTTGGCATAATGAATTGATTTTATTAGTTATACGGATTTTGCTAAAGAATGGTAAAGAGGAAAAGTTAATGGCAATAATAAAAAAATCAAAAATACATATGAAAGTGATATAATGTAAGAAACCTTTGTTTTTTTACGCCTGATCGTTTGAACAAATTTAGAAAATTAAACTGAGTGACACTTTATTAGCACGATTTCTTTCAACATTCGAGCAAAAAAGTTGCAAGGAACGTGGAATGCTTAGTAAATACTGGCTTTATAATAATAAATATTGATGGGACGGAATTAAGAATAACATCTGAGGACTTTATTAAATAACGCAAAAGTTTCTTACCTTTTAAGAATCACAAATCAACTTGTGTTGTAATAGCAGATACCAGCCTATTTATCCGAAAATAATTTACGGATGCAGTATGGTGATCTTTTTGACTGATTTATAACATAAATTATGTAAGTAATGGTGCCAGGTGCCGGTATATAAATATTATATAAATATTTACAAAATTAGAAGCATTACACATTCGATATGCTAAATCGAGTAAGCAAAATAAGAAATAAACTGGTTTGGTTCAGGATAGAAACATGTTTAATTTTTGTACATATATTTGCTTTCTTTCGAATTTGATTTTACATTGTCTAAAAAAAATGGTTGTACCTGATAATCTAGCAATTTAAAATTTTACGTACGTACCTATATATAATGATGGCAGGCAAGCTGAAAGATATATATATATATGCAGTAAAAGTTTTTCTAAACGAATGACCTACAAGTGTAGGCACTATGTCTAATATTTTTAAGTGCTGCTTTTGTTTCTGCCCAATTTTTTTTTAAAAATATTATTATTTTTTGCTATACTTAGAAAGTTAGATTAGATAGTACTGGTACGTAGAATTTACTACATAAATCAAACAACATAAAATCAACTACTCGATACGTATCATTATTAATTATTTTATTTGAGTGATTGTACAACTTACTATAAAAAAACTACACTTTTCTCGAAAAAACCATTAAAAAAATTTGTCATTGAGCCTTTTGTGCTATATTAGTTAAGTATATACTATGTATGTGCTACATAACAGATAAGTATTAATGGGCGCAGTACATACGTACATACGTACGTACGTATACTTATTAATTTTCCGCGAAATTAAGTTAAGAAATAGGAAAAAAACATCAGCCATTCAACATGGCTTAGACTGAATTGTTGCCGAAGTTTAACCGACTTCTTATTTTAAACCAATTTATATATAATAATAATTCAAAGATATAATATTGCAGTGAATTCTTAATATATAATTTGAGAATGATTGAAACTGTTCTCGAAGATCATTTAAAATTAGCTTCTGCAGAAGATTGTCATTACGTCACTATATATCGAAAATTGGTTAGAATTTGGTTTTGGGACTCTATACGTTTACTTAAGGCATCAATACTAGTTATTCAGCTCGTTTTTTGAGATAGAATAAATATGTTCTTAAACACCAATAATGTGATTTGGCAAAAATGTCAATTTTTAACGCAATATTTATCTGTCCTACTACATTCATAAATATCAGATATATTCGAATTTATAATTTACGAATATTTTATATTTATATTAATTATTAGTATTTATTTTGCAAATATTATGAATATCGTATTCGTAATTATTAGTTACGTAGCGTTAGGATTTACGAATATAAGCATTATCTTCCAAATTACGATTTAAGTAATATATTCCGATGATATTTTATGGTGACCTACTTTCACTGTAATACGTGACTCCTGAAACATGGAGCGGTACGAGAAATGTGTAAATCGTAATGAATTTAAATGAATTTAATCCAATTTATTAACTTTCGAAGAACATCTGGATGCCGTATGCACAATTTATAAATACACACGATATTTTACAAGGAATACTCAGTTTGACACGCTATCATTGAAGTTATTATATCTATATCTTCTTCATTATATGAATTATTATCTATTTTAGACTCTAATTTTGATGAAGCTCCAGATTTGATACAGTAGTATACTCGAATAGAAATTAGAAATATACAATAGTTTACCCGAGTAACCCGGGTAGCGATTTTTTCTGTTTCAGATTCTATGCATGCGGCTTTTTTAATCAATTTTTAATACATCTTTTTTCAACCAATTCGTACAAATTCTAACATATACGTATAAGAAGGCGTTTATGCAAATTTGGTTATCCCTGGATCCAACAAATTTGATTTCGAAATCGAACATTTTGATTGGTTTGTCAATATTAATATATGTTTTAAACCGGAATTTAAGTGGGGTTGATTTTATCATATGTACACCCTAACCATAAACCCAATTTAACTAGTAAATTCCAATCCACTTAAATTCCACTTACGACATATATATAATTGAGATGGAAAATTAGTAAGTATATAGTTCAAATTTCCTGGGGGCGAGTGAAGATTGAAATAAGGTTGCAAACTTTCAATTAAATAAATCACACGTTTATTAATTAATCAGCTTGAGGGTCCAAGCGTTAAACAAAATTATTTCAATTATTCGAAAGTTTTTTTTTAAACAAAAAGTAGTTACGTAGTACATGCCGATGATTCAATCGGAATGCAAGGCATGTTTTATATTTAGCATGACGGGCATCATAATGGCATGCCAAGACATTTAATGTCCATTAATGCGCGCTATTAAATAAATAGGGAATATTTTTATACCTCCTACATTTGTTATTAACACCCCTTAGCAAAACAAGACTTTAACAACTACCTAATCAAATTTAAAAATTTTTATTTGAATTCTAACAAAGTATAGAAAATTCAAATAAAAATTTTTTATCAAATCTTGTTAGGTAGTTGTTGAGATATCTTTGCTCAACGTTTTTAAAAAAAATTTAATGAAATTTTTCTTTGAGTACTGTATTCCTCGGAAAAAAAATTCTCGTGATCTGGTGATTGGTTCTGCATAATTTTGGTACGACGTAGTATACTTTGGCTTGGCTATGATATCTGTAAAAGAAATAAAACATAGTTTCCATTGGACGAAACCAATTACATCACTAATCAGCCCCGCAAAACATTCATTTTTGATACACCTGCATCTACTTTTTTGATACTGATCGACAAGCAGATCCCGGTAAAAAATAAAAATTTTAAAAACTTTGAGCGATGATATAACGACAACTACCTGCTTGAATCTGATA